CAAGTAATAAACTATAACTTGCCCGAACACGCTGCCAAGCATTTAAATCCTCCTTACATTCCGGTCGTGTTGCCTGAGGACTTAGCTAAACGAATAAACGTTTTGCACGGCGATCCCGCTGTATGGTGGATAGGACAGTTCTTTAAATACATCTTCCGGCTGCAACCAACCACTAGCAAAGTATTTGACGAATTTGCCAAGCGAGTGCATTTCAAAAAACCAATTGTCGGGTAAACATTTTTATATTGCATAACCATGATATTACACTATGTATAAAAACATTATTTAAAACTAATATTTACATAAATATTACTGTATTAGCATAAAATTTTATCTTAGATAAAACCGATCACAGTTAAGTGTCAATACTATATATTATTATAAATTAATAAGAACGTCGTTATACCCGAATCCTGAAATGGTTTGAGTACACAGCTGTTGATGAAGTACACTCAATTTTCAATTTTCAATAAGTACCTATTGTAATCACTCATAAATAAAAATCTTAGTTTATTCGGCAAACAGTTATCTTTATAACACTAATTAAAAATAACTACTAGGAGACGGGAAGAAAATGGGTCTATGTATTCTGCAAAAAAATGTAATGTGTTTCATCTAATAATTTCCACTTATTGAACTTGGAGATTAGATTATTAGATTTCATTAATCCAACAGGCAACAATACAATGTGGTGAAAGGCCCAAAAATAAAAATATAATCTTACCTAAATATTGTAATGAAACTTTAATTTGGATACAAAGCAATAAATATTAATTTTTATGTAGGTATTTATAATAATTTATATATTACAAATGTATGTTATCATTCTTAAAAAAAAAAAGATCATTTATTTCGAAGAAATATAGAAAATAATTGGTGTTTCGTTTTTTATAAATAATCAAAACATATGCGATAACTTCAAAAAAACTAAGAAATAGGTATGTCCTTAAAAATACAGAATTTTTTCAGCATTAAAATAAAACTAGTATTGTGAGTCCAATAGACGATTTTGTCTTACATTTTATTAATAACATTTAAATGGGGGATGCCCTATTCATGACTCCAATAGCCAAATGTGTTCATTAGCTTTGAGTCGAATAAACGACGACTACTGTAGTACTTTYAAACCATAACTAGATACGCCACGTGGCTTTATAGATATAGCCTATATGTAACTGGTCGTGTTACGGATATCTATAAAATTAAGTGTTTTTGTGCAGTGTGCATATCAGACGATCCGACAAACTCCTCCTTGAAGCTTCGTTCCACAAACTCGAAGAATATATGTATCACGTTGAAGAATATTACAAACTCAAGGAATTAAACGGCGAATACTACACGAAACGAATTTATTTGGCAACTGACGATGCAACACTGTTTAATGAAGCTCGACTTAAGTGTGTTTCGAATTTTCAAGTTTATACTTCGTTATTAAAATAATTACATTTATTTGAAAATGATGTAAATAATAAATCGTGTTTAATTAGATATCCTGAATACGATATTATCGGAGATCGAGAAATATCCAAAACTGCAGGGATCCTTARTAAACGAGAGTTGGACAGTTCGATTATGGATATCATCACCGACGTATATTTTCTATCTCATCACTGTGACTACTTAGTTTGTACTTTTTCGTCAAATGTAT